GTAATGCAACTTGGACTAGTTGCTCATTGATCTTGTATTCTTCCTCTTCAAGTTGGTTCGAGCCATTATTGAGCTTACTTTCAAGCATTGAGTCCGTTGGATTACTCAAAAGTCGTTCATGTGTTTATCGGTTCGCGTTTAAAGCCATAACTACCAGGATTATTTACTCACTTACTTACTTACGCCTCTCACCCCCAATGGAGCATAGGCCGCCCCCAGTTTTCTCCAACCAACTCTGGCCTGGGCTTCCCTTCTCAGTTCTGTCCAATTTTTGTTCATTCCTCTCATGTCTTTCTCTATTTCTCGGCTTAATGTGTTCCTTGGCCTTCCTCTTTTCGTTTCGTCTTCGGGGTTCTATGTGAGGGCTTGCCTTGTGACGCAGTTGGGTTCTTTTTTCAATAATTGTTCTATCCACTTCCACCGCTTCTTCTTGATTTCCTCCTCCACCGGCATCTGGTTTATTCTCTCCCACAGTACGTTGTTTCTGATGGTGTCTGGCCAACAAATCCTAAGTACTTTGGGTAGACAACTGTTAATAAACACTTGCATCTTACGGATGATGGCTTTTGTAGTTCTCCAAGTTTCCGCTCCATACAGTAGAACTGTCTTCACATTTGTATTTTTCAACTGTAGAAATGCAGCCCTTGCTTTGCCAATCCGTGACCTCAAATCTTCATCAGATCAACCTTGGTTGTCGATGATGCTGCCCAGATATGTAAGGGTGTTAACGTCCTCCAAGGTATCTCCATCAAGCGTGATTTGGTTGGTGCATGTTGTGTTGCATCGGACAATTTCGGTTTTTCCTTTGTACATGTTGAGACTTACTGCTGCAGAGGCTGCTGCTACACTGGTCGTCTTCTCTTGCATTTGTTGTTGCGTGTGCGATAGAAGAGCCAAGTCATCTACGAAGTCCAGATCGTCCAGCTGCGTCCTAGCTGTCCACTAAATACCGTGCTTCCCTTCAGATGTCGACGTCTTCATAATCCAGTCGATGACCAGGAGAAAGAGAAAGGGTGAGAGTAAGCAACCTTGCCTGACACCGGTCTTCACCTCGAAAGAGTCTGTTAGCTGTCCTCCGTGCACGATTTTGCAGTTGAATCCATCTTAAGAATTCCGTATGATGTTAACTATTTTCTCAGGCACCCCGTAGTGTCGAAGAAGCCTCCACAGTGTTTTCCTATCCACGCTATTGAATGCTTTCTCGTAGTCGATGAAGTACAGTGGTGAATTCCATTCAACTGATTGTTCCGAAATGATCCGTAATGTAGCAATTTGGTTAGTACACGATCGATCCTTATGAAATCCAGCCTGTTGCTCTCGAAGTTGGACGTCTTCGAAGTCCGTCATTCTGCTTAACAATACTCTGTTGAAGACTTTGCCTGGTATTGAAAGAAGAGTGATGCCTCTGTAGTTCTCACACTAACTACCAGCATTTATAGTAGCAGTATTTAGTCCCTACGGAAAATCCATGTAAAATTATCAGTTTTTTCCCATCCTATTGTTGTATACTTTTGTTTTTCACGAATTATTCAATCAAAAAACATTTGTTTCTCACCATCAGTCAGTCAGTCAGTCAGTCAGATGCAACGTAGAACTTTGTACGTAAGTACATCAGTTCATGTCACCATACCACATTGGCACAGAGATATAATTGTCAATTCAAATCCAATAGTAGAAGAGGTAGTGAAGGTATTAGAAGTAATCAGGGAGGTTTGAATTAGAAGATATTATTCACGAAGTATGATTCAATGAGATAAGTTTAGAAAGTAAAAGCTACAGGTGTTGAAGAACCCAGAAGATTAGGATTTGAGAGAACACAGAGAATAAATCCACCGGCGCCATTGCAAATGATTTCGAGCCATGTCATTTAGAGCCTCTAATCATCGAATATTATCATCTCGCGGACCCCAACCAGATAATCGACACTTATCGACATGACTCAGCACATTTGTCAGTGACTTCATGGATTTCTGCCATGTTTTGGTTTGGCCGCCCCTAGCTTTCTTCTCACCATAAAAGTTATGAGCCGCCTATGCTCCATTTGGGGTAACAGGCGTCAGTAAGTAAGTAAGTATAAAAGTTATGAAGATTCTTGAATTTCATCAAAATCATGAATCAATACATTGTTACACCATCATCACCTGAAAGCACTGGAAGACAACGGCTGTTCCGTCCTAATTCGAGACTGATCAATGACAGTACCCATCCACGAACCCCACTCGCATCAATCGAACCTCGGTGTGTCGAGGTTACGCATTATCACTGATGAGTCTCACTCATACTTGGGACGAAACGGCCGTCTTCCAGGTTTCCAATGACAATTTAACGATAATTGATTTACAAAGAATGAATGATATCAATCATCACTGATTCCCCTTTCTTTTCTCCCCTCTTTTTTCCCAGCTCCACTGACTGCTAATACAGCACAATTAATACCCAACAATTTACGTCAACAATATTATGTCATATTTAATTTGTCCACATTTCTACCGGGTAATCATTGTCCACCAAATTTTTATCATCTACTCATTGCACCATCTGAAGATGGACATTTTGGTTTGAAACAAACGTTGATTAATCAAACAATCACTAAATACGATTTGATTACAATCGATATGTTGTTGAATAAAGAAAGGTGAGTAAAAAGTGTTTTTGTTTAGTTTATTTTTTGTATTGAAAAGTGGCTACTTGATTGTTATTGTTGTTGATGATGATTGGTGGTTTGTTTGTGTTTGAGGGTTATTCATCAGATATTCTAAGAGAATTATTGGTCAATTCCTATTGGTTTATTCCTACTGGTCAATTTTTTTATGGTTGTCCTAACTGTCAATGTCACATACTTGAAAGGTTGTTTCCTATTGGTTGTCGTGCCTATCAATGTCACATGCTTCGAATGTTGTTTCTTATTGGTCGTTCTGACTGTCTATGTCACAGACTTCAATGTTGTTTCCTATTTAACCTAACTGTATAAATACGCATTATCTGTAACGTTTTATGACCCAGACCCTGATGCCTAGTATGGGATCCTGATTCTCTTCTGGACTCCAGCCTCGTACTTTCTAAATGCTTGTAGAATACAATGTTCAACTTTATATCGAATCTTCTTCTCTTACTCAATGGGAGGGGTTGGGACAATCGGATTAGAGTAGCCGGCTGTGTGTCGCCGGATCCTTGATCTTCGCTCTCGTTTTCCGACTAATTTGAACTCGCAATAATTCAAGCATCTCAAGATGACTTGTTTATGCAAACCAAAGGACAAAATGACAAAAGAAGAAAAATCAAATATCATCTACAAAATAAACAACTGCTCAGATTGTGAATAACACTACATCAAACAAAGTGGATGTCCTCTTCAGTTTCGTCTACGTGAACATCAGTTGGCAGTTAAACGCAGTGACATTTCTTCCCTTATATGAATACACACGGACAATTATGGTTGTACATTCGATTGGAACAGTGTTGAAATACTGGATAGTGGGAGAGTATAAAGTAGACTAGAGAATTTGGAAATGTTTGGCACTGAGATCGTTTGTCAATCAAAAAACACATCAACATTGATCAAATTTATCAACCAATCAGAAAAATCATTAGGCAGACAGAAGATCAAGAAACAGATCAAAAGAGGGATACAATCAAAACAAAGGTGTAAACAACGACAGGTTTAAGGTTAATAGCAACCAGTGAAGATTGAAGTCAACAGAACAAGCTTACCATTTGAATACTTCATTTCTGTTGCTAAAGTTTGTGCTGATGATGTTGTTGTTCAGAAGAAGAACAATAAAAGCTCCACAACCAAAACATCATGCTCACAGAGAGAGAGAAACTCCTTCGCAATCATCCTCATCTGAGCTACAAATTTTCTCCACCAGTCAATTTTAGGGTGTTTCTAGGAACTTCTGGGAGCGATCCCAACAGTTCGCTATCCACATAAACTTTCGCTTCTACTCTTATCTTTTCGCTCAAATATTCTGTCTGGGCGGGGTTGAATCAACATGTAACACGTTCAGATTTGAAACACTGTCCATCGTATCAGGATCGTCTTTGAGGTGATCGTTTTGTGCATTATGCTCCATTTCTCGGCGTAATGTGTCCCTTGGCCTTGAGGATTCCAAGAGAGGGTTTGTTTTATGACTCATTTGGATGCTTTCCTTAGCGTGTGTCCTATCCACTTCCAGCGCTTCTTTCTGATTTCTTCCTCCACTGGAATCTGATTTGTTCTTTCCTATAGTAGGTTATTGCTGATGGTGTCTGGTCAACGAATCCGAAGTATTTTGCGCAGACAGAAGTACACAGAGTGAAAATATTTAATCTGTTTCTAAAGCGACTCTATATACATTTTTCTGTTCATCTTATCTTAGTTGATATTATGCCAACTTAGGGCATGAGAGGATGTTTCTGATGCTGTAATTTACTAAATCTGTTTCAGAATTTTCCTTTCTCAATTGTTGCATAACGTGTCAAATCTTCAACTCAACTAATCAAAATAACATATACAATAAGTTGTCAGTAAAAGGTTATACAGATTGTTTAGTTTCAATCGATATCATGATCTGGTTCACGGTAAAACTTAACACCGTTGGTGGATGCCATCTTATTGGTTAAGAGGTTTCAACGTTCGGGCACTTGATTGTGAAGTGCTTGGGTTTGATTTCCACTTTCATGGTTGTGAGTAAGCACCACTGATGAGTCTCATACTAGGGCGAAACGACTTTCCAGTGCTTCTAGTTTTTCAATGGTGGTCTAACATGGATTGATATACAGTAAAGTTTAAATACTTCGAATCATGACTGTATTCATGCGTTGATAATAGGTCGCAGTCATGATAAATAGGAAAGTACTTTCGCTACATTACACTATATTACAACGTGATAGATATTAGCCAAACAAATACCAGCAATTATATCACAAAAATGAATCAAAATATAGGATAATTATCTAGAAATAATTTTAACTTAACTGTTGATACAAGAACGACTCATAACGCCTAAAATCTATGGAAGTAACATGTACTACTGGAAATAATAACAAGTAGTATAGTTGTATTGTACACAAAAAGTTGTTGTGAAGCTATTGTTTTAGAGAAAAAAAATCCATAAAACCATATGAAACAATACATTGTAGCAAACTATGTATTTGGCCACGCGTATATAACCGCTGTCAGGAAATTCTTACTCACTTTCATTTCGTGGCACGAGGTGTTGTGTTTGACGAACTTGAGAGACTGATTATTTCAGCGCTTCATAACTGTGTTCTAGCAAGCACGTAGGATCATTCCAGTTAGGATGGATTTCGAATTAATCCATAAGAAGATTGTTATGTTTGTCACTAGGTGTGCTTGAAGCTATTATGAGTTCACCAGCGTCCAGATAGGCTACCTTGAATGAATCCCAAGCTGTAAAACAGAAGTCTTTGTAAGCGTAGAAAGTATATTCTACAAACACTCGTTTATTTATACATCATAGAAACGTCCTTGGGACAGTTACGAAAATAGCGCGCTAAAATACACAGCAGCCAATCACACAGCCATGGATTTTCCCGGTGGGAACTGATATCTCAAAGTCAACTGATCAGCCCATGCTAGCAAAAACGTGAAATCCAAAATTAAGGCATTTATCAAACGAGTTTTGGGGATCTAACATCCCCAACAGAAATTTAGTTCATTTCTATCTGAATTTTATTCTAGTCATACTGTCGAGAAGGATGTAATGTGAATCTCACGGCTACAATATCTAGTTCAGAGAATGAAATTCTTATAAGATTTTATTCTGAAACACTATTATTATGAGTAAGTAAGTAGTAGTATGCGAATATATATTTTCTTTAATTTCATTCTATTGTAGATGCTGTTACAATGTGACTAATTTGAATTCAGGTTCACATTATCATTATAAAGTTGTAGCAACCAATGCTGCAGGATCAGCTAGTGTTCAAGGTCAATTCTGGACAAGAACTGTTTCAGGACGTAAGTACTTTTGTGGAATAGTTGTGATGTTTGTAATTAATTGATAAATGTATCATGTTACTTACTACTCGCTAATGATTAATTTTGATTGAAAGACTGCGATCATCAAAGTTTAGTCATTTCAAACGGTGAGACTCCATAATTAAAAAAATCGCATCTTTTACTCACTAGTGACTAGTAGCTTCGTGAGGAAATTCTCGCAGTTCTAGTGAGAAGCTATGACCACTAATCCTGTCGAATGTAGGCAGTAATTACCGAAGACAATGGATGAGGTTGCGCGAAACCTTAGACTAAGTTAGATATTAACACTTTTGGATGCCGACTCGGTGGTCTAGAGGTTAGGCATTCGTACACGAGACCGAAGGTCTTGGGTTCGATTCCCGTCAGTGCGAGTGGTTGATAGTCCCATACTGGAATCAAACGGTCTTTCACTGCTTCAAGATTTCTAATGTTGGTTTAAAAATGATTCATGTATGATTTCAGTAATGAGCTGAAGTTAACCAAATCGACCATGAGATTCCTTTCGATTAGTCTAGACGCAGTGCTACAAGGCTTTGGAGGTTCACTATTGAATCATTGACTGAATCGTGGCTGGGGTCTGTTAAAGTTGGACACAAATTACTAGGTAGATTTTACTAATCCATTGACATAATATTAGTGAATGAGTCCTTATCGACTGAGATGATTTAAGCATGTGTTACGCATTTCGTCTACTAACTACACGGTCGCACGATGTTTGGATGATGTAAGCTGAAGTTGGAAGAAGAGAGCTAGGAGTGGCCAAACCGAGACTTGGTAACAATGATTATGTATTAAGGACCATGTCAATAACTTTAGACTACTTGTTTGATGCCTACATGATCATTCTAATCAGTGATTAGAGACTTTGACGGATATGACTCAAAATTGTTTGCAGTAGAGCAGATGTTTGTCTTCTTCCCCCGTGATTCTAAGTTTTTATTATCGTCTTATAACGATATGCCAATCACTTGTTTACTTATGCCTGTTAACTCCCCCCAATAGAGAGCATAGGCCACCACCAAGTTTTCTTCAACCTGTTCTGCCCAATACTCTGTTCGAAAATTTCTCCAGGTGTGTATGACTTGTAGCTTTTCCTGCCGGCCTCAGTCTTGACTGGGTTTTATTGACCATTAGACCTGTTATGAGTTTTATACCAGGACGAAAGGACCTCTCTTTCAGTGCTTCTAGGTTTCTAATGTTGGTCTAACAATGAATTATTGATTGATGATTTCAACTGTGTAAAAACACTGATCTCTATAACTCTAATTGATATGCACGTAAACACGTTAATTTGATATACTTGAACTATTAGGAGTTCACTCTAGATGGTGAACAAGAGCGAGGATCCGGCGACACAACAGCCCACTCTAATTTGAGTGTCCCAAACCTCGATTGAATAATAAAATGAAGAAGACTTGATATGAAGTAGAACATGTATTCTACAAGCATCTAGAAAGTACGAGGTCCGAGTCCAGAAGAGAATCAGGATCCCGGACTAAGGATCCGGGTCCGGCTTCGGGTCATAAACTGTTACAGATAATGCGTATTTATAACAGCAGTAGGTCTCAACATACATAAAAAAAAGCAAAATTCTCCGATGTAACACAACATGCACCAACCAAATCACTCTTGATGGAGATGCTTTGGAGGACGTTAACACCCTTAACATATCTGGGCAGCATCATCGACGAGAAAGGTGGATCCGATGCAGATGTGAGGGCGCGGATTGGCAAAGCAAGGGCTGCATTTCTATAGTTGAAAAATATCTGGGATTCCAAAAACAACTGTCAACCAAAACCAAAATCAGCATTTTCAATACAAATGTCAAGACTGTATGGAGCGGAAACTTGGGGAACCACGAAAGCCATCATCCATAAGATACAAGTGTTTATTAACAGTTGTCTACGCAAAATACTTCGGATTCGTTGGCCAGACACCATCAGCAAAACCGTCTTGTGGGAGAGAACAAGCCAGATTCGAGTGGAGGAGGAAATCAGGAAGAAGCGCTGGAAGTGGATAGGACACACACTGCGGAAAGCACCTAACTGTGTCACGAGACAAGCCCTCACTTGGAACCCTCAAGGCAAAAGGAAAAGAGGAAAACCAAGGAACACACACATTACGCCGAGAAACAGAGAAAGATCTGAGAAGAATGAACAAACTTTGGACAGAACTGGAGAAGGAAGTCCAGAACAGACAGAGTTGGTTGGAGAAAACTGGTGTGCGGCCTATGCTCCATTGGGGGTAACAGGCGTAGGTAAGTAAGTAAGTAATGTGTATTTATACATTTAGGTGGAATGGGAAACAACATTGAAGTCTATGACATTAACAGTTAGGACGACCAATAGGAAACAACATTGACCTTGATAAGTAGGACGACCATAATTATTGACCAATAGGAATCTACCAATAGAATTTACACTTACAAAATGATATTCGGTGAATATCTTAACAGTTGTTGTTGTTGTTGCTTGTTTTAAAATGAAACTTGTACCAAAATTTCTTACTTTTATCTACTTCTTTGTTCATTCTATTCTTTTTTTTTGATTGATTGATTGGCTGTTTGATTAGGTGAACCGGTACTCAGACAAATTCATTTACTCGGTAAAAGTAATTTCTTCTTACAACCAACAATAATTATACCAATGACAGCATTATTAGCTATTTTAATGATTGTTATGATTGCATTGATATTATTCTGTCGTCATCAACGTTTAGAAGAGAATTTAACACCACCAAATAAAACAGTCACTATAACACATAATGATTTACGATCGAATCAGCCAAATAGTCACAGTAGTACTAATAATAATAATAATAATTTGCCTTCAACAACACATATGAATCATGTCTATCCAATTGGCGGCGGGGTTGGTGACAATAGTAATAATAATAGAAGAGCATACTCTTCCAATCCTAAACGACATGATCATCTTCAAGCATCGATTGCTCCTTCAGTAGCAGCAGCAGTTAATCCACAGGCGATGAAAACTGCACCGATTGAACGTCATACAACTGGTTTGAAAAGGTTTGTGTTGTTGTCTAAACTTTTATTTTTATTCATTTGGTAAATGTTTATCGAGCCAATGTTAGACATTCGATCATTAGTATGATTTGAGAATCAGAGCTAATATAGAAAGCTTGATTAGTTTTTGCGAATTCTTGCAATGTCACTCAAAGCGTAGGCAAGATATTTGTATGTGTTAATCAAAGGATGAGTCCACTGCGTAGTAGTTTGCTCTAGCCTACTACATAACTGTGAAACATGACTAGTAAGAGAAGAGGATATGCGTAGCTTACTGGTTTTCGATTATAAATGTCTTTGAAGCATTGCTTGTACATCCTGAGACAATCGAGTAACTAGTGTTGTTGTTAGGAAACAGGTACTAGATAAGGAGAGCAGATCAATCGATAAAGTGATGAAACTTCACTTGAAATGGTTAGAACATGTGTTACGAATGTCCAACACCTATCAGTGCCTCTGGCCTGGTGACTGACGAAATCTCAGCACGGATACAGAAGGCTCGATTGGCTTTTGCCAACCTGCGTCACTTATGGCGTAGGCGAGATATCAGTTTGCTGACTAAAGGACAAGTGTACTGCGCAGTAGCTCGCCAGTGAGAGTAGAAGACATTCGTAGGTTACTAGTCTTCGACCATAGGTGTCTTCGAAGCATTTCTCGTATATCCTGGGACAACCGAGTGAGCAACGCTGTTATTAGGAAGCGGGTGCTAGGTAAGAATGGCAGATCAATCGATGAAGTATTGAAACTTCATCAGTTGAGGTGGTTGGGACATGTGTTGCGTATGCCCAACCACCGACTGCCTCGTCGAGCTATCTTTTTTGGTGTAGAAGTAAGTTGGAAGAAATCTAGGGGCGGCCAAACCAAAACATGGCACAAATCCATGAAGTCACTAACGACAAGTGGACTGACTCATGTTGGTAGATGTAGGCTACTACTGGTTGGGGTCCGCGAGATGATAATAATCTATGGTTAGAGACCTTGAATGACATGACTCAAAACCGTTTTCAGTGGCGCAGATGCATCCACTCTTTATGTTCTCTCAAGATATAACCTTCTGAATTCATCATCAACCTTTATCTTTTTCTTTCTAAGTTAATTTCACTAGATTCTACTTCTTGAATCATATCTTCGAACCGTAATCTTTCTCATTACTGCTAATACATCTCACTACCTCTACTTCTATGCCGGTGGAATTAACACTGACTAATTACAAAACAGTCACCAGCTAACATCCATAAAATATCATTAGGATGGTAGCATGTTGAACTATTCCTTGCTAGTGAAAAGAAAAAAGAGCTATTTCGACCTGTTATAAGTTAGGATTATCACCCTACAGAGTTTTCGTCTCCAAGCGTGCGGCCATCTAAAACAGGGTTTTAAGGAATTTCATCACGAACTGACCACAGCTATGATGCAGTGGTATGTACTGTTTACACTAGTTGAGATTTAGAGTTAGAGTTAAGAAAAGCAGAGAACATTATCGATCTTCACTAAAAAACTCTTTACAAAGCAGCGAATCACATTGAGTTCTTAAATATATACAATTTGTCTTGAGGAGTAATTTTATTTTGGTAACTTGGCTTAGACAACATCTTAAGTTCACTCACTGTTTGATCTTATAAAAGATATTTTTTGTTGATTGCAACCATTTCGTCGATCATGTTGACTGTCAATTTCGACTTTGATAATCATCACATTGTGCCCATCACTGAACTCGAATCTGATTGGTTTACCTGGTGGCCATAGCAAACATTTGAATCAGTTCTTCATTAAGCCAACTTCTTCGTCTTACGCTTACTTGAAGGATAAATAGGCAGTTGACCATTTCTGTTTAGTGTTTTTTTTCAGCAAGTTAGTTTTCTATGGGACGGGCTCTCTAACCTCACTCCCAAATCTCATCCTTGATTTCAATCCGGTTAATTTTTATTGTTTCCTTCTAAACTTACTACTTATATATATTTTAAGTAGTTCATTTATATGAATAAATTTATTGGTAAAGAAAGCAGAATAATTTTGATTTTATTATGTTTTTTGCTGTTTTGTATAAATTCACTTGACTTCTAGTTGGTTCAATGGAGCACGAATACGTCATTATGATCGTGGACATGCAATTAAACCTTCTGAACAATCTGTACATGTTAGTTCAGCTCAAATTAATCATCATATCACCGCCGCTGCTGGGGGTGGTAATCAGAATGATGATGATGAACGTTTATCCACTAATTCAGTGGATAGTGAAGGTAATAACAATTTGTCTGAAATAAAGTGATCATTCTATGGAAGGATCTTTAACAATATGCATCCATGTCCCCCGCCACAGAGACTGAAGCTTAAAACCTTTAACTTCGTGTGTACGATCGTTAAACGTTCAGATTATCGAATTTTAGCATGCATCACAGATAAGATATAAAATGTTCATGTAGTATCTTTTGATTGAAGTTAAACATATACATCACCAAAAATTCAAACTCATATAACTGAGGCTTTTGAGTTCAATTGATTGTGGCGGGTTTGTGGATGTACAACATTGTTGAGTAACCCCATACTAGTAGGAACAAACATCTGTACAATGGATCTTAGTTTTATTCATTACGTTCTATCTAAAATCACTTCTCATCTTGAAGATATACTGTCACTTTGGAACTAGTTTACATTGAAACTTGAACGATATAGAGTGAAATGGTTAAGTGCATTGACCAGTTCACCCTCTCTCTCTCTTAGAAGTTTCATCACTTTTCATGCGTTAATGTATGTTTGAAAAAAATCTCAACATGGACTGGAAAATAAGCTCAATTAATGTTTAGAAATTTGTATCACTTGTGAAGCAAACAGGATGTTCATTTTAGTAATTCAAAAAAAAGTATACTAAGACTCTGAGACTGTTACGCATGCACGTAAACACGTCAATTTGATAGGCTTGAACTATTACGAGTTTACTTTAGTCGGAAAACAAGAGCGAGGATCGAGGATCCGGCGACACGACATGTTACTCTAATCCGATTATCCCAAAACCCCCATTGAGTGAAAGAAGAAGACTTGATGTTAAGTAGAACATGTATTCTGCAAACATCCAGAAAGTACGAGGTCCGAGTCCAAAAGAGAATCAGGATCCCGTACTAGGGATCCGGGTCCGTGTCCGTGTCCGGGTCATAAAACGTTACAGACAATGTGTATTTATTCATTTTGGTGGAATAGGAAACAACATTGAAATCTGTGACATTGATAGCTAGGACGACCATAATATTGACCAATGGAATTAGACTTACAAAAATAATTCTCTTAAGATATTAGCTGAATATCCTAACAGAGATAATCACCCATTGTCCGGGTAGGCTACTGACGAGAAAATCTTGATATAGCTTAGAAAGTGTATTCTACAAACACCCAGCCAATACAAAATTCTCAAGCACACAAATTACGTTTATTTATGCATCATAGAAACGTCCTTAGGAGAGTCACAAAAATAACACACTAGTAACCAATCGAAGCCAAGGATTTTCTAGGTGGGAAATGTGATCTCAAGGTCAACTGGTCAGCAGCCCATGAATAAAATCTAAAATTTAGACATTTATCAAGCGAATTTCTGGGGACCTAACGTGCCCACACACATTTCTCTTGTTTTATGCAACAACCAGGTATCCAGGTTTGAGATTAAGAAAAATTGTTAAACTAGTTTTTCTAGTGAAACACTCATCAAAATGAACATTCAGAATTTTTGAATATGATTATCAATACATTCAAAGTTCAATAACTGATATGAGGTAGTGTAGTGAAGGAGAACAAAGGTGATGGCAACCGAATTGTATTTAACGAAAATTACAGAGTTAATCAGTAAAATAGGAAAACTATGTCGTAAATCGTTAATTTGCAAATCTTCAATCCATCATCAATCCATTGTCTGACATTTATTTCACTATTCATGCATTTCATACAAATTCCATTGTGTTCCCACTCTTCCTTTCTTGATCTTCCCCCGTCTTCTGCTGTCAGACATTACGTTTACACTCGCGTCATATACTACTTATAAGTAGCGCGCACCACAGTAGGATTGTATAATTAAAATAAATCGATAGAAAAAAAAATTCATTTCACAAAGGTAAATTATATTTCAACTCATCAATTTCCACAAACCTTTTTTCTACCAGTTATGAAAAAAAATCGTTCAATTATTGAACAAGTGATTTATCATAAAAAATGAACATTGAACGCCTCACCATTGAACTATTTTACATTGAACAAGTTAGCATTACGTTGAAATCACTTAGCTATTAATAATAATAATAATAATAATAATAATAACTTTCTTTCGTACATAACAATATCAACATTTAGGTAATATCAATCCATATGCAACCTATGCAGCCACTGGTTTCGGTGATCGAACAGATACAGTTGGCGGCGGTGGGGCGAATGCAACTCTGACTGGAGCTGTTCTGCCTGGTGCTGGTGCCGGCGGTAACAGTAGTGGTGGTAGTACTGTCAAGCCGTCAATGATTTCTGCTTCAGTAATTGACAGTAGTATGATTGATCCAAGAGGTATACGATCAATACGTGATTTAAGCATGAATCGTGGAAATCATAACGTGATGAGCATGTCAAAACCAGCTTGGAACACGGTATTCAGACGTGGTGAGTTTTGTGATTTTGTGAGTCAATGTTAAACCATCCTCACTAGGAATCTGAAAGCATTGGACGACCTTTGGTCTTTAGTATGAGATTTATCAACTGTGAGCACCCACGACCACCCTGCTTGAGGGAATCAAGTCAGTCAGTCAGTTGCAACGTAGAACTTCGTACGTATGTACATAAGCTCATGTTGCCATACCACATTAGTACAGAGACGCAAATGTCAAATCAAACCCCATTATGATTGAAATAGTAGAGGTATTAATGGTAATGAAGAAGACTAGGGTTTGAAGATATTGTTCAAGAAGTATAATTCAGTGAGATAAGGTTAGAAAGACAAAGGTAGAGGTGCTGACGAATCCAGAAGATTAGGATTTGAGAGATCTCAACAAATGGATGCACTTGTGCCATCGCAAACGATTTTGAGCCATGTCGTTCAAGGTCTCTAACCGTTGGTGACTTTCGTCTCGCTGACCCTAACCAGGTAGTCTACATCTACCAACATGACTCAGTCCACTTGTCGTTAGTGACTTCATGGATTTCTGCCACCCCTAACTTTCTTCCAACCTACTCCTACACCACAAAACATAGCTCGTCGAGGCAGTCGGTGGTTAGTCGAGGGAATCAAATCAAAGGTGATTTGATCTGGTGCACGAACGTTTGGCCTATTGTTCAGTAGTTAGAGAAGCCCTGATGGTTTGGTGACTGATGAAATCTCAACACGTATATAGAAGGCTCTATCGGCTTTTGCCAACTTGCGTTACTTATGGTGCAGACGAAGCATTGCGCATATATCTTGAGATCATCGAGTAAGCAATGCTGTTGTTGGGAAATGGGTAATAAGTAATGATGGCAGATCAGTTGACGATGCACAACATCTTCGTCATTTAAGATGGTTGGGACATGTGTTACGAATGCCTAACCGCTAACTGTCTCGATGAGCGGTGTTTTGTGGTTTAGGAGTAGGTTGGAAGAAAGCTAGAGGAAACCAAACCGAAACATGGCACAAATCCATGAAGTCACTGACAAGTGGACTGAGTCATGTTAATACATGAAAACTACCTGCTTGGGGTCCTCGATACGATGTTACGTGTAGTAAACACGGTGGTAAATGAATATAAACATTAAAGCGAATCACTTGCTTAGAATTAAATTGATCGGTCGTTACAATGCTGTAGTAATTATTATTGATGTACAAGAAAGGCTGAATGTATTCGCTAGTACAAACAGTGTTACTGTAGAGATAGACAGAGAGACAGACAGATACAACGCAGAACTTTGTACATAAATACATCAGTTCAGGTTGCCATACCACATCAACACAGAGACGTAACTGTCAGTTCAAATCCAAGAGTGATAGCCATAGTAGAATTATTAGCATTAATGGAAAAGATTACGGTTCGAAGATATGATTCGAGAAGTATAATTCAGTAAGATAAATTTCGAAGGAGAAAGGCAGAGATTATAAGGAAGTCCGAAGGTTAGAATTAGAGAGAACAAAAAGATTGGGTGCACCCGCGCCATTGCAAATGGTTCTGAGCCATGTCTTTCAAGGTCCCTTATCATCGATTATTATCATCTCGCGGACCCCAACCAGGTAGTCTACATCTACCAACATGACTTAGTCCACTTGTCAGTGACTTCATATATTTCTGCCATGTTTTCGTTTGGCAGCCCCTAGATTACTTCCAACATACTCTTACACCACAAAACATAGCTCGTCGAGGCAGTTGGTGGTTAGCCATACGTAACACATGTCCCAACCACATCAACTGATGCAGTTTCAATGCTTCATCTATTGATTTCCATCCTTACCTAATACTCGTTTCCTAACGATAGCATTGCTTACACGGTTGTCCCAGGATACACGAGCAATGCTTCGAAGACACCTATATCGAATACTAGTAACCTACTAGTAACCTTCTACTCTTAACGGCCATGTTTCGCATCCGTATAGTAGGACAGAATGAACTGCTGCATAGTACACTCGTCCTTTGGTTAGCAAACAGATATCTCGCCTACGCCATAAGTGACGCAGGTTGGCAAAAGCCAATCGAGCCTTCTTTATCCGTGCTGAGATTTCGTCAGTCACCAGGTCATCAGCAGTGATGAGACTTCCCAGATAAGTGAAGCGGTGCACACGTTCAACTACTTCACTCCCTATCACTAGTTCAGGTGTCGATGTAACCCAATCTTGAAACAACATTTTGCTTTCCGAGGTCGAGAACCGCATACCGAACATGCTTGCATTGTTGCTTAGAGTAGTCGGAAGACTCTGTATTTTGTCAGCGTCTTCACCAAGTAGGACTATGTCATCGGTATATTCTAAGTTCACAAGCGAGCCTCCTGGTAGCAGGTGGCTCCTGGTAGAAAATCGACTCCTGAAAAGTCAGACGGGGATAACGGGTATAAGCGCTTCTAAAATAATGTTCGAAATTTGATTTGATTGTAGTCAGTAATTTAATGGCTGCATTAAATTCGATATCGGCCTAATTACTTTAGTGTCTATGTTGAATTTAAAGTTGGGGCTCACCATTTTAATGACGAGTGATCCTTTAAGTTTCTGTAAATCATACTCAGGTGAACCTCGTTTGTAAGATGGCGGTAATAAGAAGCGAAATACGGATTTGGTTGGATGAGTATATTTCATACAATACTAATATCAAGACAGTTCTGTTGTATGGGTCGGTAACTTGAAGAACTACCATAGCCATTCATTCAGAAGATACAAGTGTTTATTGACAGTTGTCTACACAAAACACTTGGGATCTGTTGGTTAGGCACCATCAGCAACAACCTACTGTGGGAGAGAACAAACCAGATTGCAGTGGAGGAGGAAATCAGGGAGAACCGTTGAAAGTGGATAGGACACACATTTTGGAAATTGCCCAACTGCATCATCAGAAAACCGGTCACTTGGAATCCTCAAGGTCAAAGGAAAAGAGGAAGATTAAAAAAGCACAGTGTGCCTAGAATTGGAGATCGGCTAATTGGACAGACCTAGAAAGGGAAGGCTTAGGACACAGAGTAGGTAGGAGAATGCTAGTCGACAACCTATGGCTCCACTAACAGTAAGAGATGTCAGTTAGTAACTCATACATGATTTAATTCTAATCTCCTTCTATCTTTCCTCCTCATTTCAATCTCATTTCTTTTTCCCCATTTAGGTCTTTCCATACCATCGAATGCAGAATCCTTAATGTCCACACATCATTATCATTATCCGAATTTAGATTCAACTATAGATGATGGTGATGATAGTTCTACGCTTGGTCGACCACATCACCATCCTCATCATCATCATCAACTTTTACGTGTTGGTTCTAGTGAACGATTAAGATTAGCTCAACACTTGATGGATTCACGTCTATTGATTCGGCCACCACCATCATCATCCTCCACAGCGGCATTGATTGATCCCATCCTACTTGGTCCATACAATAATGATGGGACATTATTGGATGAAGAAGAGGAAGAGGAAGAAGAAGGTCATGATGTTTCAGAGAATACAATGGATGAATTTGTTGCAAGAGTTGGTGGCGTTCGTGGCTCCATGTTAACTCCTTTAAGAAATGGATTAATTCGACGAATTAATTCATTTGAATCGTTACATCAATTACCAAGAGGACGTAAGTGTCTGTTGAAGTTTTGTTAATAGGTTGCATTACACGGGTTGTTGTGAAGATTGTTGTTAAGTTACACATTTTTTTGAAACTATGAATCGATCAATGTTGTTAGACCATCACCATTAGAAACCTGGAAGAAGCACTGAAAGACGGCCGTTTCATGGTCCTGGTATGGGACTACTCATCAGTGGCAGTGCGCATCCACTACTCCTGCACCCCGCAGGATACGAACCCAGGACCTTCGGTATTGTAGGCGAACGTCTAACCATCGGACCACTGAGCCGGTATTTGACGATGTTAATGTCTAACTCTGAAGGTTCTACCAGATTGGAGAACGATGAGACTAAAAGCAGATACCCAAGGTCCGAGGGCGAAGTCGTACTGATGAATGCAGAGGGATGTGACAGCAGTAAGGTGTTTCCCTCGGACAACCAGCATCTGCAGCGATGCTGCCTTCTCACAAGGAAGGAAGTGTTAGAAAAGGTCGACCCTAAGAGTGTCACACTTCACCCTACCTAATGAATTAAACAAGTAGGTTTAAGGTTCTAGGAGTCTAAAACAGTTAGTGCCTTTTATAAATTTTGATAGAACAATGTGAGAAGACGTAATTGATCTGAAAAATAGTGTGATGTATTTACGCGCTACACATATTTCGAATAATCTGGTCATACATATGTACACCTGTCAAGGCATTTTATGTATGAAGATGAATAAAAGGTCAATTTATTAGAAAACTATGTTCATCGATCGCAAAAACCACATAATTCAGACAGGGCATAAGATTGACGACATCAAGACAGCCTTCAAAACATTGTATCGAAATGTTGAATGATACAAATTTTTAGGTTTATGGAGGTGTTGGCTATTCGTAAATTAAAACCCTCCTTGAATTTACCCCAGGGTAATGTGACAATTTTCCTACCCCTTCTTATTATTCTTTTCATATAAGGTTAATTTCCTCTCTCCTTTATTTACAATGATCACCCTATGTCTATTTGAACTTTTATTTAATTGACCTTTTATTCATCTTCATGTATATAAAATGCCTTGACAAGTGTGATATGTGTGTGACCAGATTGTTTGAAATGTGTATAGCGCGCAAATACATTACACTATTTTTCAGATCAATTACGTCTTCTCACATTGTTCCATTAAAAAAGTTCTAGGAGTCTCGTCTGTTTGGAAAAAAAGGAAATCCTCTGTTTCACGTAGGGAAATGTTGTCAATGTTGTATGACGTCTATTTATTTTCGTACCTCTTAATACCGCCATGTTTATCTTTGTAAATAAATAAATATTTATTTCTTTATTTGGTTTCTATTGAAGGTTCACAAACTTATCATCAAGGTTTTGCAGCTGCTTTTATACCTCCTAACAGACGAATTCAACCATCGATTGGCGCCGGAGTCAATGTATCCAGATCTGTGATTAATCCAAATACGAAAATTCTTCCATTCTATGAATCCGGTGGTATGGATACGTCTAATGGTGGTGGTGTTGGGGGCAGCGGCGTGGGCGTCGGCGGCGGCAATATTCAACCATCTGATCCATCTGTAGTCTATCGTGGTAGTGTATTGTCAAGTACCACAGTTTCATCGAATCATGATGAATTAATGCAAGCTTATGAATATAGTCGAAAACATCAATTGAAATCATGTTTCACTTTACCATCAAACACCATAATACCATCATCTCATTTTCTATCACATAACAATCAGGTCGGTACACGTTTAATGCTGCCTACACATCGACCTTTGGACTTTGATCAATCGCATCAACAACATTCACATCGTCAACCGCCATCGCATCAACATCAACATCTTTCAACCGGTGGTACTGTTCTTATGCCACATGCAACTACTACTGGAGGTGGGGTTGGTGAAGGTGAAATTAGTGGTGAATCCGCATCGAGTGATGCGACAGACTCAGGTATACGACAATTTACTCAACAACCACCTCAACCCGATGAAACACGACATGCAACATGTGAAATTCCATTTGCTTATGATGGTAAACAAGCTCATATTTTAAAAGTTTATTTTTAATGTTAAACTTTAGTGATCTGGATGTTTTAATTATTCTTGCATATGACGCCGACGGTCCTTGGTTCGATTCCTGCATGCTTGAGGCCGGGTGGGGGCGGAGCTGCTACCTTGACGTGGTGGTCGGGCTTGCCTATCGTGATGACCCAGCCGAGCTATACTGGCTGGAACATATGTTCCTGCAGGTTCTACCATACCAGGCAGGTCTATAGGAGAACGATGAGACTAAAAGCAGCTACCCAAGGTCCGAGGGCGAAGTCGTACTGATGAATGCAGAGGGATGTGACAGCAGTAAGGTGTTTCCCTCGGACAACCAGCATCTGCAGCGATGCTGCCTTCTCACAAGGAAGGAAGTGTTAGAAAAGGTCGACCCTAAAATTGTCACACCTCACCCTACCTCAGGGATTTCTGTCTCCTTCGGTAAGGGTGCCCACTAAGGGCTTTAAAAGAGCTGAGCTAATACTGAAAAAACCTTTCATAAAGAGGCCGTGCGTGATTGGCCTAAACAGTTGTCCCTTCCGCTCTGTGGTCATGCTCCCGTGTTGTTAAGACCGACACTGATCTATCTTCCTTTTTTGGTACCTCAAGAAACAACCTTCCACTGTGTGAGTAGCCGAGAAGTGACAACTGCCCTCATACCCGTAACAGTACACGAGACAATTATATCTCTGTGCTGATGTGGTATAGCAACATGAACTGATGTACTTACGTACGAAGTTCTACGTTGCATCTGACTGACTCGCGCATGCTTGAGGCGGGGTGGGGGGCGGAGTTCGTCGTTGGACACTTGTTGAGCAAAACAGCCAATCAACTGTCCAATGTTTCCAAGTTTGTTAATAGTAGTCTAACTTAGATCAGTTTTTTTTATTTTAATCTATGGAAAAAATAATGTGATCTCCGTAAATTTCCTTTGTTAGTAATGTTGTTACTTTTATCCTGCATCCAAAATACTTACTATTTATGGTAATATAATACACTTCATTTGCCTCTATTTTTTCTGACGCTCATCCAACTGAAGCATAGAAATTTATTGTCAACTAACTGACAAGTTGAATCCATTTCTGATTATTGATTAGTTGAAATTTCAAGAATTCAGCACAAAGAAATCACATCGAATTGGGCTAAGTTTGATGAATATATATTATTAAATAATTTTCGTATTTTGTTGAGTTACTTTGTGAAATCATCAATCAATCATTGCGCGACCACCATTAGAAAGCTGGAAAAACACTGGACGACTGCTTCGCCCTAGTATGGGACTCATCAGTGGCAGGGAGTATCCACGACTCCTGCTACCCTCAGAGTTCGAACCCAGCACCATCGTTCTCGCTTAACCTCTAGACCACTGGGCCGGCATCCAACGGTGGTAATGTCTAACTTTAATCAATCTGGGGTTATTGCATAACCTCACTCGTTATCTTCAGAGGGTAGCTAGCTACCTCACACCCGAACACGGTTGAACTCCACTGGTCATGGCTTCTCACTGGGACTTTTATATTTTCCTCAAAAAGCTATTCACTCATGGGCACGTTTAGTTTAGTTTTGTTGTAGATAACACTAAAATCTAGAATGAATGTTCCATGCTATACTTGAAGCACTCAACATCTAGATATATAGGAAGAACAACTGTATTACCATAAGTAGAGAGTATTGGCAAAAGAAGAGGTCATCTGACATCAAATATGTATAGATTTTTTTGAACGAATGTCGAGATTTCCAATGTGAATAAGAAAGAAGCTGTGATCAGTGGAGTTTAACTGTGTCGAGTGTGAGGCAGTTACCAACTGAAGACAATGGGTGATGTTGCGCAATACCGTAGATTGACTGAAGTTAGACTTAAGCATCGTTGGAGACTGGTTTATCAATGGTCTATAAGTGTTAGGATATTCATCCAATATCCTAAAAGAATTACTGGTCAATTCCTATTGGTTAATTCCTACTGGTCAATTTTATGGTCGTCCTCGATATCAATGTCACGTGCTCCAATGTTGTTTCTTATTGGTTGTCCTGACTATCAATGTCACTTCAAATGTTACTTCCTATTGGTTGTCTTAACTGTCAATGTCACAGACTTCTATGCTGTTTCCTATTCGACCAAAATGTATAAATACGCATTATCTGTAACATTTTATGACGACGACCAAGACCAGGACTCGGTTCCGGATCCCGAGTCCGGACCTCGTATTTTCTGGATGCTTGTAGAATACATGTTCTACTTCATATCAAGTCTTCTTATTTTAACTAAATCTGGATGTTGGGATAATCGGATTTGAGAAACATGTCTTTTGTCGCCGGATCCTCGATCCTCACTCTCGTATTCCGACTAAGGGGTAAACTCGTAATACAGTTCAAGTATATCAAGTTGACGTGTGTACGTGCAGGCGTAAATGATAAGGATTAAGTTATTGGCGTGTGAGACCGAAACTGTTGGTTTGAAATCCCTTATGCCGGGGATAGTGGGGTGATAGATGTTCATTGCTGATGAACCCCATACTGAGACGAAACAGTTTTCTAGTGCTTCCAGGTTTCTGAAGGGGGTGATGGTCTAACATTGGTTCAATTCATATATATATATATATATATATATATATAAATCCTTCTCATTGGATTTTTTTAAAAATTATGTTTTATATACAGTGAATCAATTAACTTCACGACGTCCAATGATTGGTTCTGGTACCATGAATACTACTAACAATACTACTAATAATTCATCGTTATTATTTAATTATTCACATAAAATCAAATCAAATGATACTACTCATTTACAACAACAACATCAGCAACAACAATCAAGATTTCTGCGATGTAATTCCGATTGTCCATCAGATATGACAGATATTTACGCTACAATTGATTATAATAATGAAGATGATGATAATCATCCGAACAGTATTCTCCCGCAGACAACAACCACAACAGTGGCGGCGGCCGCGGCAGCAGTGGCAGCAATGAATAGAAATGTTGGCATTGAGAAACAATTATATGGACAAAAATTAGATAGATCTTATCAATTACTACCTGTACCACCATCTACAATGACATAGTAAGTGAGCGAGAGAGAGAGAGAGAGAAGGGATATGCTGTTTTCGTTTATATATATATATATATATATATATATATATATATATATATATATATATATATATATCTTTTTCGGCTCTATGAACTTGTCTGTTGCTTATCTCTTGATGGCCAATGAGAGTAGAAGATATTCGTAGGTTACTGGTTTTCGATCATAGATGTTTAAGAAGCATTGCTCGTATATCCTGGGACAACCGAATGAGCAACGCTGTTATTAGGACACGGGTGCTAGGTAAGAATGGCAGATCAATAGATGCAGTAGTGACACTTCATCAGTTGAGGTGGTTGGGACATGTGTTACGTATGCCCAACCACCGACTGCCTCGGCGAGCTTTGTTTTGTAGTGTAGGAATAGGTTGGAAGAGAGCTAGGGGCGGCCAGACCAAAACATGACAGAAATCCATGAAGTCATTGACGAGTGGACTTAGCCATGTTGGTAATTGTCGACTACCTGGTTGGGGTCCACGAGATGATAATAATCGATGGTAAGAGACCTTGAATGACATGGCTCAAAATCGTTTGCAATGGTGCCGGTGCATTTATTCTTTGTGTTCTCTCAAATCCTAATCTTCTGGGTTCTTCAACAACTCTAGCTTTGACTTTTTAAACTTTTCTCATTAAATCATACTTCTTGAATAATATCTTCTAATCCTAACCTCTCCGATTACTCCTAATACTTTCAATACCTCTTCTACTATTGGATTTGAATTGACAATTATACCTCTGTGCTGATGTGGTATGGCGACATGAACTGATGTACTTACGTACGAAGTTCTACGTTGCATCTGACTGACTGACTGACTGACTTTATCTCTTGATGGAGATAGCGAATTAGATTGGCAAAGTAGTGAATGTTGATCATTTTAGATGGTTGAGATTTGTGTTAGGGATATCTAACCATCGCCTGTCTCGTCAAGTGATATTTTGTGTGTTTTAGAGGGAGTGGACTGGAAGAAAGCTAGGTGCGGCTAAATCAAAATATGGCATAAATCCATGAAGTCATTGACAAATGGATTGAGTCATATTAGTAGGTATGGACTAATCAAATTGGTTGAGGTCCGCGAGATGTGGTAGGAACCGATGGTTAGTAGTGACTTTGAATGACATCATGATTCAAAATCGTTTGCAATGATGCAGGTGCATCGATTCTTTGTTTTTCTACAAATTCTAATCTTCCGAATACTTCATGACCGTTTTAAATTTATTTCATTGAAATTACTTACTTATTTACCTACTTACCTACGCCTGTTATCCCATAATTGAGCATAGGCCACCAACCAGCGAATTATTCTTGTGGTTAGCTTTTTTCTTAGCGAGTTAGATTTCTACAGAATGGGGTCGCTAAGCCCATGTTCAACCCTCTTCCTTTATCCCCGCTTGGGACTGGCAGTAACCCTGGGAGGTCTGCAGGTTGAGTGATTTCATTGGGATATACTTCTCGAATCATATATTCGAACCCCTTAATCTTCTCCGATGACTGCTCATAATTCTACTACCTCTACTACTACTACTACTAGTATGGGATTTGAATTGACAGTTGCATCTCTGTATACTCATATGGTATGGTTTCCATAATTACTTGATTTGTGTGTTTCTGGACCTCATATTTTCTGGGTGCTTATAGAATAAACATTCTACGTCTTTTCAAGACTTCTTCTTCTACTTAGTGGGGCCTTGGGACGCTCAGATTAGATTAGCCTATCATGTCACTGGATCATCTTGTCTTCTCTCTTTATTTATCGACTAAAGTGAACTCGTCATAGCATTCAAGCTTATCAGTTGACGAGCATAACATTGGTATCGGCAGCTGAACTAGTGATAGGGAGTGAAGCCGTTGAGCATGTTGACCGCTTCACTTATCTGAGAAGTCTCATCAGTGCTGATGACCTGGTGACTGACGAAGTCTCAGCACGGATAAAGAAGGCTCGACTGGCTTTTGCCAACCTGTGTCACCTATGGCGCAGGCGAGATATCTGCTTGTTAACCAAAGGATGAGTGTACTATACAGAAGTTCGCTCCATCCTACTATAGGGATGCGAAACATGGCCGTTAAGAGTAGAAGATGTTTGTAGGTTACTAGTATTCGATGATAGATGTCTTCGAAGCATTGCTCGTGTATCCTGGGACAACCGTATAAGCAATGCTGTCTTTAGGGAACGAAGTAATCTAGGTGCTGCCAAACGAAAACATGGCAGAAATCCATGAAGTCATCGACAAGTGGACTGACTCATGTTGGTAGATGTAGGCTATCTAGTTGAGGTCCGCGAGACGAAAGTAACCAATGGTTAAAGACCTTGAAAGACATGGCTCAGAATCGTTTGCAATGACGCAGGTACATCCAATGAAATTCTAACTTCTGAATTCCTCATAATCTCTACCTTTCTGCTTCTAAATTTATCTCACTGAATTATAATTCTTGAATCATATCTTCTCTCCCTAATGTTCTCCATTACTGCTATTAATTCTACTATTGCTATCACTTTTGGATTTGAACGGACAGTTACGTCTCTGTGCTGATATGGTATGGCAACCTGAACTGATGTACTTACGTACGAAGTTTTGCGTTGTATCTGTCTGTCTGACTGTCCCAATAGGACGTTTCTATGATGTTTATATAAACGAGAGTTGTGTGCTTGATTGCATTGTGTTTGCTGGGTGTGTTTGTAGAATATACATTCTACGCCATATCAAGACTTCTCTTTAGCCGTTTTGAGTCAACGGATCAAAGTAGCCTAGGGTTCATTGTCTCGTTCACGTTTTTTCGACTAAGGTGAACCCCATAATAGTTTCAAGCGCACTTAGTGACAAACGCAACACATCATGATGCAATGTTCACTAATTGTAACGCTTGCTTATATAGTTTCCAGCTAATTCCTATTGCTTAGTATTCTCTGACCACAATACACTGGACAAGTTCCAAAGGATTAAAAACACGGTTGAACAGGAAAAGATTATATTCCAAATAGTAAGGTTAAATATACAACGTTAGTTTCTTTTTAGCATTTACATGAGAAACTTCTCGATAGAAATTCACGTGATCTACTGGATTAGATTTAGCTAATCAGCATGCAGCTAACAAACAAGCCGAGAATTTTCTACCCTGTTCTCACAGAATCGATCAGGCGCTGACTGGATAGGAAATTAGTCAATTAGCGCGTAGCAACGTAGTCATGCTTTTTAATCCATCTATGTCCCACTAACAGTTCACTAATTGTAACTCTTTTTTTTCTTATTCCTCTTGTTACACATTGATTGAATTGCAGTTGTGACACAGATGATCTATCACCGACAGCTTATGTTCCAATCACAACCGCAACCTACGATGATGAAACATCGGAACCATGTCAACCAACTTCATACTATTATCATCATCATCCTCATCATCAACATCAACATCAACATTCTCATCCTGCCACCAGTCATCATCCTCAACATGCTGCCGGGATGATTGTAATGCCGAATACCACTAGTAGTGGTAGTAGTGGATTTAAACATAATTCATCTCATTTATCTCATCAACTAATTGGATCAGATTCTAGTCAATTAAAACGACGAGTTTTACCAATGAATTTATCTATCAATCCGAATCAGAATCAAAATAGAGGTAAATGAATTTTAGTTGAATAATTTTTGATGTTTTGAAAAATATCCTTTTGGAAAAAAATGTTTTTTTATTGAAAACATTATAAGAACGTGAGAAAATGTTTCATTCAAACACTCGCAGAAACATCTACTCGAATGTACTGCTCATACTTCTACTACAGCGAGCGATTTCATCTATCTGTGCTTAGATGGTATGGCAACTAGAACTGATGTACGTACGTTGGAAGCTGACTGATTGACTGATTGATTGATTGACAAAAGGCGAAATCAGTTGTTATATTTAGTATGATCCCTGGATTTATCCGAAGCTCAATGTCATGAGTAACTCTATAAATACCTTCGTATCAACAACAACATAGAACTTCGTACGTACATACGTACGTATATATGTATGCATGTACATCAGTTCAAGTTGCCACACCACATTACCACAAAGATGCAATTGTCAATTCAAATAACGTAGTAATAGAAGTAGTGGAATTATTAACTGAGTAGTACACTCGTCCTTTAGTCAGCAAACGGATATCTCGCCTTCGCCATAAGTGACGAAAGTTGGCAAAAGGCAATCGAGCCTTCTGTATCCGTGCTGAGATTTCGTCAGTCACCAGGCCATCAGCTTTGATCAGACTCCTGAGATAAATGAAGTTTTCAACACGTTCAACCGCTTCACTTCGTATCACTAATTCAGTTGCCGATACAAGCAAATCCTGGAGCAACATTTTACATTTCGAGGGATAAAACCGCATCCCGAACATGCTTGCATTGTTGCTTAGAGTAGTCAGAAGACACTGCATTTTATCAGCGTCTTCAACGAATGGAACTATGTCATCGGCATATTCGTAGTCAATAGGCGAGCCTCCTGGTAAAAGGTCTACCCCTGAAAATTCAGATGAGGATAAGGTTATATCTAGGAGCAAGAATGGAGAGAGTGGACTATTGATCCAATATCCTGGTCCGGTAGTACCCCTAGAAGGACTCCAGGCGTATTTGTTAGCCCATATCGACTTTATTCTATACTCTCACCTGCTCATTGAAGTAGTCAATGTGACGAGGAGTTAGCGTGTATCATGGTCATCATGTATCTACGACACTACACATCCCCATAGCAAAGTGTTTCGTTTACTTTTTTTTTGCTAAATTTTTTTTGATTTTAGATTTACGAAAACAATTAACCACTGGCGGTCGTATCAATAATACTCGTCAATTAGATAAATTGCATACAAGACAATTATCAGAAATTATTGGTGAAGAAAGTGTTGGACTACTTTCAGCTGCAGGAATGTCAGGATTATCTAATATGTAAGTAAATTTACATTGTAACGTTCTTTTATTGTCTTATTAGAAACTACTGTTACGTGTGTGTGTGTGTGTGTGTGTGTCTCTGTTAGGATATTGATCCAATATCCTAAGAGAATTATTGGTCAATTCCTACTGGTCAATTTTATGGTCTTCCTAGTAGATATCAATGTCACGTGCTCCAATGTTGTTTCTTACTGGTTTCTCCTGACTATCAGTGTTACTTCAAATGTTGCTTCCTATTGGTCGTCTTAATTGTCATTCTCACAAACTTCGATGCTGTTTCTCATTCGACCTAAATGTATGAATGCGCATTATCAATCACTTTTTATGGACCGGCCCGGATCCCTAGTCCGGGATCCTGTTTCCCTTCTGGATTCGGGCCTCATACTTTCTGGACGCTTGTAGAATACAGGTTCTACTTCATATCACATCTTCTTATTTTAACTAAATCTGGAGGTTGGGATAATCGGATTTGAGTAGCATGTAGTGTCACCGGATCCTCGATCCTCACTCTCGTTTTGCGACTAAGGAAAACTCATAATAGTTCAAGTATATCAAAATGACGTGTTTATGTGCAGGCATAGCATAGACCACCACCCTCACCACCATTAGAGAAATCTGGAGGGATTGAAAGACGGCTGTGTCGTCCTGGTGTGGGACTACTCATCAGTAGAAGTGCGCATCCACGTCTCCTGCTGATGGTCGCACAAACGCCTAACCCCCTAGATCATTGGACCGGCATCCCACAGTGTTAATGTCTAACTCTGATCAATTTAAGAATCTTGTACAACCTCATCTATTTGTCTTTCGGTAGTTACTGCCTTCACTCGAACAAGGTTTTGAACTCCACTGGCCCCATAGTTTCTCACTAGTTAGCACATTTTTATGATTTTCACATTATACTAATCATGATTCAATCGTTAACTTTTTTTAAAAAAATTCCTTTTTTTTTAATATAGAAATCCCATTGATATTTATAATTCAACAATACATGGTCAAGTAGTTGGCTATCCTACTTCTACTTCTACGAATGCTACTACTACTGCCGCAGCTACCACTATTAACACTGGTAGCATTGCTGCGGGATATCAGGGAACTACTCTTACTCCTACTACTATTGCTACTTCTTCGTCTACTACTACTACTAGTACAACTCATCATCATCCAATCGAAACAACCGAAGAAAATGTATACACTTCTGAATTTGTACTTGTTTAAATATACTACTAATACTACTACTACTACGACCGCTTTTTAAACGTTTCACACTCACACACACACACACATTCAATTCAATAATCATGATTTTATCTTATGTTTGTATACATGTGTATATTTTTATTATGAATAATCTTACTACTATTATTATTATTAAGTAGTATAAGTAGTTTTATCTTCAATTTTTTTCCTTTTCTTAACAAGTGCAAATTCTGAAGTGTGTGTATTACAATTTTTTCGATTATTTCAATCGGATAATGATGATGATGATGATTTTATTTCACGTATTTATGATTTTTTTTTAATTATCTTGATTATTATTTCATTTTTGTAATATTAATATGACTAATAATAATGATAATGACCCTTTTTGATTTTAATATTCTTCAATCACTTCCAATCACTCACCTGTGCACTGTGTGTGTGTAAATTTAATTTGTGCGAGAGAAAAAATAAACAAGAACATGAAATCATTGTACTCTTTATTACATCACTTGGAATGTGTGTGTGTTCTTCTGTTATTGCCCTTACTCTCTGTCTCTCTCTCTCTATTGTGTATGGTGGTACCTGTGTGTTGTATATATAAATATAACTGTTTTTCTTTTCCTGTATGTTTATATTGTAGTTTTGCTTTGGTTTTGTAAGTAGTCATTTAAGATTTGATTCTGTTTTTTTCTTCATGATTCTTCCACCAACTGTGTCGATTTTCGTCGACCCTCTTCCACTCTACCACACACACTCTCTCTCTATATATATATCTCTTTCTGTAACCTGTTTCTTATCACAAATGAAAGGGATCAATTTTTCCTTACCCCCCTTCAGGCCCGCTTATTGAATCATGGAACTGTCGACCGATTGACCGACCACCATAATCAGCATCGAGTTGTGCTTTTTTATGTCATGAAATTTCTGTCATCCTCAAAAAATAAAGTGAATCACTAATCAACTGATCGATCGATCGATCGATTGACTGATTGAAATGTACATATAAAAAATCACTAAAGAGAAACCAGTCATCAACTGTTCTACTGTCGCCGCCGCCGTCGTCTCCTCCGCGATCATCATGATCATCATTAGCAGCAGCACCACCGTTCATGTTATGACTTATTATTGTGTGCCTAACCCTCCTTCCTCTGTCAGCCCCCCTCCCTCGGCAACCCAAATAAACAAACAATCACACTTTGATCTGACAACGAGTCGCGATGACTATTTGACTTGGCTTTCTCTCTGTTGACTTATTCCCTTGTCTCCGCATATATGACATACACACATGCACATGTACACAAACGGTGACAGATAGTGTACACACAAGAATACATTGTTGATATACATACATATATATTTTTTCTCTAGAAAATACAAACATGATTCATGATAAACATATGTAATATTTTGACTTGTGTGGTATTTGACTTTTTTTTCCTGTGAATACTAATAATAATAATCCGTTTGTGAATGGATTCTCTCTTTCTCTCTCCTTGTGTTTCCTATTTTTTCATTTAGGCATGTTTTGTTTTGTTCTGTTCAAAAATCTAGTCACATTTCCATGTGGATTTGTCTGTTTGTAGTTGTTGTTGTTTCTGTGGCAGTTAATTGATTTTAAACTTGTGTATAGTTTAGTTATTCTTACTAATCTGTACCGTGTATCCTATGTTGTACACAAATACACCATGTAGGACAACATTACTCTGTGTGTGTGTGGTGATCTGAAGCTAGTTCCATTGGTTTGTCCTCTTTTTCTCCCGTTCTTATGTGAGTTTTACTCGCGAATATATTTTTTTCTAAAATTCATCTATGGCTTTTATCTAATGATAACTCAGTTATGACTACTATTACTATTACTACTGCTATTGCTATTTTTACAATGACTACACTGTGTGTGTCTGTGTTGAGCGTGTGCGACCGACCGATCGCGCACGCCCTTTGATTTCATCTTATACGTCCTTTTTACTGTTTTGTTTTGTGATAGACAATCAAATTGCATCGAAATGACACTATCAGTCTGTGTGTGTGTGTGTGTGCGCAAGTGAATAGACGAGAGAGAGTACTACTACTCGTCTCTCCTCCTCTTCTTCTTCTTCTGCTTGTATTTACAAGATTACAATTTGTGTGTGTGTGTGCGCGCAGTGTGACTGACTGTGTAAACCAGTAGATTTCTTTTATAACTTCCTTCACATGATTGTTGATTTGAAGAGGAGAAAAAATAACACTATTTCATTCACCACAGCTCTTTATGTGGTTATTGATGATTTTGGCTTTGTTCTTCTTTTTTTATTTCCCGCACAAAACCACACACACACACACACACACTGCACATTGTTGTTGTTGTTGTTCTTCTTCTTCGTCAGACGACAGTGTTCGCCCGATATGCAGTCGATTTTCTTTTTCTTTTCTTTTTTTTTTGGTTTTCTAACATGAAAAATCAATCAAAATAATTCAATCAATGCTAATCAATAAATTTTGTTTGAATCTGTGTTTGTTTTTGGTTGTTTTTCCCATGACACATTATTGGTTGGTGGGATGGAAGTTGACACTGTGCTCGATCGAGATTAAGATTACACGCTGTCAACTGTTGAGAATAGGATGATGATGATGATAGGTCAGTTGGAGTTGAGTTGAGTTCAGTTCAGCTACAATGTAGAACTTCCTCCTATATATGTACGTACGTACCACATTAAGTAGCACAGTCAGTCAATCAGTCAGATGCAATGTAGAACTTCGTACGTACGTACATCAGTTCATGTTGCCATACCACATCAGCACAGAGATATAATTGTCAATTCAAATCCAATAGTAGAAGAGGTAGTAAAGGTATTAGAAGTAATCGGAGAGGTTAGGATTAGAAGATATTATTCAAGAAGTATGATTCAGTGAGATAAGTTTAGAAAGTCAAAACTACAGGTGTTGAAGAATCCAGAAGATTAGGATTTGAGAGAACACAAAGAATAAATGCACCGGCGCCATTGCAAACGGTTTTGAGCCATGTCATTCAGGGTCTCTAACCATTGGTGACTATCGTCTCGCGGACCCCAACCAGGTAGTCTACATCTATCAACATGACTCACTCCACTTGTCAATGACTTCATGGATTTGTGCCATGTTTTGGTTTGGCCGCCCCTAACTTTCTTCCAACCTACTCCTACACTACCAAACAAAAAGAGAACAGGAATTGCATTGCGGGATTGTTGTGAAGATTGTTAAGTTTTATTAGAAACCATGAATCAATCAATGTTGATGAGTCCCATTCCAGGACGAAACGGCCGTCCAGTGCTTCCAGGTTTCTAATGGTGGTCTAACATTTATCGCCGATTCATGGTTTCAAATAAAACTTAACAATCTTCACAACAACCCCGCAATGCAATTACATGTGCTCACTAGTGACTGACTAGCTTGGTGAGGAATCTTCTCCGAGATCTAGTGGAAAGTCGTGACCAGTGAAGTTCAAACCTGTTCGGATGTATTCTACAGTGTATGAGGTTGCGCAACTCCGTGAATTTGATCAAGTTAGACATTAACACCGTCAGGTACCGGCTCAGTGGTCTAACGGTTAGAGCGTTCGCGCAGAGTACCGAAGGTCTTGGGTACGAATCCTGCGGGGTGCAGGAGTCGTGGATGCGCACTGCTGATGAGTCCCATACCGGGACATAACGGCCGTCTATCAGTGCTTCTTTCAGGTTTCTAATGGTGGTCTAATATTGACCGATTCATGGTTTCAATTCAAATCACATAGTAGTAGAGGTGTAGCGCCTAACATGTATGCTTTGTTGTGCTTGTGTACGCGCATGTATACACTTACTTGGGCATGACTTACCACCAAAGCATATAGTTATGTGACCAAGCTTCATCGATTAACTGTTTAAATAATTTGATGGCAATATTGACTGTACCATATTTGAATTAAATCCGATATTTGTATTAATCATTAAAAGCATATTGAATAATAAAGAAATTATGACAACGACTCGTGTTCTATAGTAACGTTAATCAAGACGGAGATATACGGAATTTAGAAGATAAAGAAAGTCCGACGCCACAGATGTGGTAGAAGTATGAGCAGTGATAGGAAAGACTAGGATTTGAAGATATTATTCAAGAAGTAGAATCTAGTAAAATCAACTTGAAAAGAGAAAAATGAAGGTCATGATGAATGGATGCATCTGCACCATTGTATTCAAAGTATCTAACCAGCGGTTACTATTGTAACTCCGCCAGTAAAACCTTAGGGGCTACTGCCATTCCCAAGCCCGGATAAAGGAGGAGGGTTGTACATGGGGTTGTCGACCCCATTCCGTTGAAATCTCACTTGCCAAAAAAACGCTAACCAGAAGAAATAATTCAAACAATTTTAACTCTGCCCTGGGAATTGGAAGAACAATTATGACGTCTCGTGATGAAAGCCGAGTTCCCTCGGAAGTCACGGGGCCGATGCCTCTTCTGACAACCAGACTTACTTACTTACTTACTTTCGCCTGTTACCCCAAATGGAGCATAGGCCGCCCACCAGTTTTCTCCAACCAACTCTGTCCTGGGCTTCTTTCTCCAGTTCTGTCCAATGTTTGTTCATTCCTCTCATATCTTTCTCTATTTCTCGGCGTAATGTATTCTTTGGCCTTCCTCTTTTCCTTTTGCCTTGAGGGTTCCATGTGAGGGCTTGTCTCGTGACGCAGTTAGGTGCTTTCCGCAATCTGTGTCCTATCCACTTCCACCACTTCTTCCTGATTTCCTCCTCCACTGGAATCTCACTTGTTCTCTCCCACAGTTCGTTGTTGCTGATGGTGTCTGGCCAACGAATACGAAGTATTTTACGTAGACAGCTGTTAATAAACACTTGTATCCTCTGGATGATGGCTTTGGTAGTTCTCCATGTTTCCGCTCCATACAGTAGAACTGTCTTCACATTTGTATTGAAAATCCTGATTTTGGTGTTGATTGATATTTGTTTGGAGTTCCAGATATTTTTCAACTGTAGAAATGCAGCCCTTGCTTTGCCAATCCGTGCC